AAATGTCCACAAGTTACTCAAAAATGCTTCAGACGCAACAAAATTACCGAAGATAAGCTCATTTAGCGTAAGCGACATGGCCAGCTAATGGAAGACTATTCAGATAGGCAAAGCTAACCAAATAAACTGGAATGAAAGTTATGCAGCTTAAAGAGACCTAGTTTAAGTGTAAGTTGGTTTAGCCCAACTGCGGTGAAGAAGCATCAAGAATGCAACATCAGCCTCAGCATATATATATATATATATATATATATATATATATATATATATGCCGGGTGATTTCAACGCGCGCGTTGGGCGTGATGCATCAGCGTGGACTGATGTTATCTGTGCGCATGGCAATTCGTGCAGCGAATGCGAACGGCGACAGGCTGCTCTCACTGTGTGTCACCCACGGCCTGACGATCACGAACATTCGGTTTGCACTGAGTGCGAGTGATATAGGAACTTGGACGCACCCACGGAGTGGTCAAGCTCACCTGCTCGACTATGTCATCGTACGTCAGCATGACAAGCGTGAAGTGCGCATGACACGTGTACTGCGTGGAGCTGAGTGTAGCACTGATCACAAGATGGTGCGGACCAAACTGTACATATATTTTCGTAAAACTATTTGTTTCACTACCGTCGTGAATCGGTGTAACTTTAACGTTATCTCCCTCGGTACTGGGGCGAAACGTACTGAGCTGGAGAAGGCGATGGCTGCACGCCTGTGTGATGTGGACTGCGTAGCCACAGTGTGCGACCTGTGGCACTGCATTCGCGACAAGGTGGCAGCTGCTGCTGAGTACACCATCGCGCGCGCAAAATGTAAGCGACCTGATTGGTTTGATGACAACAATGCGACGATCGACGCATTTGTGTCGGAGAAGAATGCAGCATTTGCTGCACATGCTGCAGACCCCAGTGACTTGAGGAAGAAGAGTCAGTTTCGCAAACTTCGACGGCGACTGACCCGAGAGCTTCGTCGCATTAAAAATACATGGTGGACGGAGAAGGCAAAGCAGATGGAATGCTACGCCGAATGTCGACAACACAAGGAATTCTTTGACTCCTTGAAGGCGGTGTATGGACCGAGATTAGAGCCGCGGAGGACACTGATCGATGGTAGTTCAGGCGCTACCTGCACACAGACTGCAGACATAATGCAGATCTGGCGAAAACACTTCGACTGTCTCTTGAACAACCGTTCAGAGATCGACTGGCCTATATTGAACTGTTTGAAGCAGCACGATGTGAAGGCGAATCTGGTGGACATGCCGTCACTGGATGAGACGCAGAGAGCACTTGCTCAGCTGCGAAACAGCAAGTGTGCCGGTGCTGACGGGATCCCGTCTGAAGTATTGAAACAATGCAGACCCGCGTTGTTGACTGCGCTGCACCACTTCGTGCAACGCGTATGGATTGAGGAGGAGGTGCCTCCTGAGCTTAAGGATGCCCTTGTGCTACCACTGTACAAGGGTAAAGGTAGCAAGCAATGTTGCACGAATTATCGTGGCATCAACTTGCTGAGTTGTGTGGGCAAGGTGCTTGCCCGAATCCTGCTCAACTGCCTCGTCAGTCAGGTTGTGGAACCGGACGTGGCGGAAGAGCAATGTGGATTCCGTTCGGGTCACAGCACTATAGAAATGGTGTTTGCGGCTCGTCAGTTGCAAGAGAAGTGCAGAGAACGACACCAGCCATTGTACTCTCTTTTTGTTGATTTCACCAAGGCATTTGATACGGTGAACTGCGAGGCATTGTGGTTGGTGTTGGGTAAGTTTGGTTGCCCGCGTAAGTTTGTAAGTTTAATGGAATGTCTGCACAGTGGTATGCGAGCGAGGGTGCAGCTGAGTGGAGAGACCTCGGATGACTTTGCAGTTGTCTCTGGTGTGAAGCAAGGCTGTGTCTTAGCTCCTGCTCTGTTTATGATTTATCTTTATGCTATACTGTCTTGTGCTTTTGATGCCGCTTGTGCTTACTGTGTTCGTGTGGAGCACCGTATTGATGGTGGATTGCTGAACATCCGTCGTTTCGGTGCGAGAACTCTACACTGTGAGACAACTATCCGTATGTTGCTGTTTGCTGACGACTGTGCGTTGTTTTCACACAGCGCGGATGAGTTGCAGCACATGAGTAGTGCTCTGGCTTCGACAGCGGCAAAATTTGGGCTCACCATCAACACAAGCAAAACTGTCTGTCACTTTCAGCCTTCATCGTAGGTGCAACCTTCAATATTGCCGCGGATGAGCCTTGGTGCTGAAGTATTAGAAACCACCTCCCGCTTTTGCTACCTTGGGAGTGTGATGTCGACTGATCAGCAGCTGCACAGTGAGCTGCGTATCCGCTTGTCGAAAGCAGCAACGGCATTCGGGAAGCTTAAGTACCGAGTATGGAACAACCATCAGCTTACCAGTGGCACGAAGCTAATGGTGTACAAATCCATGGTGCTGTCCGTTCTTTTATACGTCAGTGAAACGTGGACGATGTACCGGCTGGATGTGCGATATCTCTAGCGGTTCCATCAGCAGTGTGTGCGACGGATTTTGCACATCGGCTGAGGCGACAGAGTTGCAGACACCAAATTGTTGCGCCGCAGTGGGATGTATGCAGTGGACTGCGACACCTGAGGTGGATCGGTCATGTGAGCCGTATGGATTCAAAGCGGATACCGAAGCAGCTATTATATGATCAGCTGAGTATTGGGAAACGGCGCGTGGGGAAAACAAAGTTACGTTACCAGGACATGATTAAAGTGAGCCTCACACGTTCTACTCTTGATCAAAGATCATGGGAATCGAAGGCGGTTGATCGTGGTGCATGGCGCAATCTGATCACAAAGGCAGTTGCTGAAGTGCGGGATAAGGACCTCATACATGCAGAGAAGAAGCGTCAAGTGCGGAAACGGCAAGCACCGATGGGTTGTACTCCATCGACATCGAGCGCATGGTGCTGTAGCACATGCGGTCGCGAGTGCCTGAGTCAGGCAGGCCTAGTGAGCCATGGGCAGGGCCACTCCGGACCACTACCGAAGCGACGACTGGTCTTGCAGAGATCGTAGGCAGAACCAGCGCAGCGTTTGTAGGTACGCTGTATTCGATTTATTACCGCGTGCTTGAATGCTAAGTCTCTTTATTTCAGGTGGTAGGTTGTTAATTTTGCCTTAATGCTTTTCTTTCTCATATAAATGTCTATCTGTACTATATTCCATTAACTTGCGCACCTCGCCCAAGCCAATTGTATCCGACTTCCATTTTTGCTTCCGTTGCATTTCCGTAAAGTGTATTTTCTGACCTCGTGAAGTTATCTGGGATTCGTTTGTAAACAATTTATTTCATATGCTCATTAACTTAAGTTTCACGCCACCGTTTCCTTATGCATTAATCGAGTTATTTTATTACAAACAAAAGTGTTTGGCTGTTGTTTGATATCCCCGGTGTGGATGCGCTTGATGTGCATGTTGACAAGGTGCCTACCTGTCTACTACGCACTACCTCGTCCATATTGGCTCTAGAAGACAGTTGGTCATTGCTGGAGGGGACGGGGTGCACAGTCCTTGTGGCCGTGTTAGGATGAAAGAGTGGTTCCATGCAGTCAGTGTGGAGCGGCCTACGGTCCAGCCACCGCCTTGTGTGCGCTTGATTCCCAAATACAGTGTGCTTGTGTTTACCTGTGAAGGAGTGTGGGTCGGCTCCGTTGATGAAACCTGGCTCCCATCCGCATGCCTCCCGGTCTTATTCCTTAGGGTTTACACTGGATATGGGGTATGTGGTTGGAGCTGTGGGTGGTGCAGCGCAAGCCACCCATGGTCCCTCTGTAGGCGCAGGCGTCCTGTGGCTGGCCACAGTGACAGGCAAATCCGGAACCGGATGCCGCCAATCATATATATATATATATATATATATATATATATGTATGTATATATGTATATATATATATATATATATATACCGCTGCGGCCTCGCACAATATTCGCATGGCTCATCGGTCACGTGCGGTTCAACAACCTGAGTGACGAGGCGGTTGAGCAGGCTTCGGGCGATCACTTTACACGCACCACAATTTGATGTCATGATAATTCATGCAGCATTGCTTGTGGCAACTCCCTTCACTGGTATAACCCAAATTAAATGTAGCAGCAGTAGGTTGGCATTTCGTACCAATGCTCGGATGCCATGCAACCACCATCAGTCGTGCGCGTGCTAAGGTTACTACGAAGGTCGCTCGGTCTCCACGCAGCTTCGAACCAGGGACGTTCGGGTTGCAATGCAAACGCCTTGTCCTTCCGTCACCGGCCGGCCACTAAGATTCACAAGGTCCAAAGGAATGGTTCCGCCTGAATTTTGCTGATAGCTGCAATCGGAGACTGGTGGTACCAAAGTCCTTGTGATATCCGGCGGACGGGTTTATTATTATGCTATCTGGCATCAGACATCAGCCACATTTCGGTGAGTACTACTCTCTTCTGAAGATTACCTAACGGCCAAAAGTGGGGCCGAACCAGTGATCAACTGCACGGTTGGAGCAAATAAAGTTAGAGATATCCTGCCTCAGATATGTTCTCAACGAGTACACTGGCTGTGGTTTGATTCAGAGAAAATTGTGGCTGCAATTTATTTACCTGTCACAGTCTAGCACAGAGCATACGCCTCAAACCGAAAATACACTGGGAATTTCCTATGGGAAAGCATTACCCAAAACCGAGTCATATCAAACTTCATTCCACACATACGTGGTATTGCATGTACTATGACCCACTGGAGCATACAAGCAAAATGTTTTGGCGAACGGATAATCGGGGTAATCTCAGGGAACTAGTATGTGAAGGTGTTGTTGTGGCAGTGAGAAGAGTCGAATTCAGTTTTCCAAACCACAAAGAAGAATAACATTTCCGACAAGATAGTAAAATGGTAATGTAACGACGTTCGTAGTGTTTATGCATCGTCTGAGTCTCTTCACTCCAAAAATTCCCCAACAATTTCAAAGCTTAGCAGCGTTCTTTCCACTTGTGATTTTCCCAGTGGCACTGTTGAAATAACTACCCTTGAAGACACCCCAGGACCAGTGGCCAATCTTCGCTCTACTGGTGTTGGTGTAACATTTGCCGAGATAACCTGGACTCCACCGTCGGAACCTAACGGCATCGTGCTTGGATATGAGTTCGAAGCCATGGAATGTAAGCAACCTTTCTTTGCGAAATAATTCACAATTGGTCTGTCATCTATGTGATCACATTAATGTCTGCAAACTGACACCGATAAGTTTCATCAAAGATGCAGGTTATCATGGAGTACTCCTCGCTCATTTTTCACTCATTTTAAAGGTATAATCAAACCACTCGTTAATACATATCCACAGAGATCAGTGTGTACTCATAGTTGCATTTCTTCTGTGGTTACTTATCCATTGGTCGTAACTCGACTGATGTATCTGTGTAATGATAAAGATGCAAGTAGACCAAGGGGTAGCTGCTAATATGAATTGTCGCAGTTACTTTCAGCCAGACCATCAAATCTATCCAAGAAATTACCACGCAGCAGTTTCATTCTATTGAGACTCATCAATAGTGCTCATCCGCCGGATATCGTCTGGTCCCAACGCATGATCTCAATATTACGAAGCAGCGACTTACAACATTGCTCAACTGGAGCGCTTCGCAACAAAGATTTTACACTGAATATACCGAAGGCTAGAACTAACGTCCGCTCTAATTTCTTCCTGATCAAATATAGCCATCTGTGTAACAAACTACCAATAACACTGGTCACGTGACAATTTGGCAACATGTAGAAACAGACTCGCCAATTACCTTGATTTAACTACCCTAAGCTCTATATCCACATGAGAAAATTCCCTCGATGAGCTATTCCAAGAGGGGCCCAAAAACATATAGACACCAATGTTTTCATAACTAGGCTTTGGCCTCAACTATCCGCCAGAATGTTAATACATGAAACGCATATCCCAATACTCCACCTATGCAAGTCACCCATCCAAGAGCATGGATGCTTCTGTACAAACTGATCTGTGCCGCCATAGACGCAGTTTCTCTCATCAAGAGAAATATACAGATTATTATTATTATTATTATTATTATTATTATTATTATTATTATTATTATGCCACTGAGCTGTGAATGAGGCTGGACCTTACCGTGGCGCGATGGTCTGTGTGCCTCAGCGATCCATTGAGCTATGCTGGGTGGTACTTTTGCACCTTCAGAGTCACTCATACCAGATTGGTCAATGGTTAGAGGCCGGACAAACTCAGCCTCCTGGTCCTCCAGGTTGGGGGTTGGAATGAGGGTGGCTCCTTATTCCTTAAAACGGACTTCTTGTAGCCCAACGCCAAACCCGCTGCCTTGCGGTCAGGTTTTTGAACCAAAGGCTTTGGTTGAGAACCCTAATCGTTCTTCTGTCTAGGCCTGAGCAACCTGACATTATCCTGCCCACGCATACCATGAATCTTACCTCAAACAAATTTCTGATGCTCTGGCCACCGCAGAGGATAATCAACGGTGCCCTATCTGCTGCATCGAGCAGGGTGGGTAGGGGTTTGGATGCTACTGCTCAAGCCTTCCCGCCTTCTTATTCCCCCTTACGCTTTTTCACTCTTACCGTCCCGTTCCAACTTCACTTTGACAGTTTGTCCCCACGATTGACTACTGCTCAATTAACGGGAGCGGGGTTAAAGCTGTGAAACGGGTGTCAGCTTTCGATGCGGAAGTCACGTTCTTCAACTAAAGAGATGAGTACTACTGAGTAGTGGGGATTTTTGTGTAATTTTGGCGGAATGGTGTCGCCTTTCCCTCTCTGGCAAGCATTCCCCCAAACTTCTGGAAAAGCGCCGTACAGCTGTTTCGGCGTTCTGGGTCTCATTAGTGGTGTGCGTTCCTCGGACTCCTGCCAGGTTCCGACCGCACGCCGGCAGCATATTGTGCCAATAAGCCATGGGTGACGGCGACGGGCCAGCAAGACTGACATTTGACTGCGATATAGCACGAGTTATCCTCCATTGCCAATGTGAGTAGGACAGTGGTTGGCCCCAGAGCTACGGGTTTCCGCATAAGGGCAGTGCACCACCCAGCACTTAGAAGCTATACGGATGGATATTTTGATTACTGGTTTTCGTGATGCGTCCTCGATACGTAGAAGTCTGACTGCGCAGCGATTAGGGCTCTATTGGCATTAAGAATAAAGCGCTACTTATGTGTTACAGAACCGTTGCAGAGAGTTCCAGTACTGGGTTCAGCATCCACTTTCTGGGCCACGTGTCTCATCGCATCATCTCACGCCAGACAAGCAGTTCTGTTCGTGGCGTTCAAACTGTCCCCTTTCCCATGCGCGACTTTCTGCCAAACAGTTTCAGCACCCTCATTCTCACACTCCGGTCCGGCGTTCATTTGCGCAGCATTGATAGAACAGTTCTCACGGCTCGGCTCAGGCGAAAATCTCCAAATCTGGCCAAAAGGCTACCCCGTTCTCATGCATTTGTCGCGGTAAAGTGGTTCACAGGTTTGGCCCTCTGTCCCACTAATGAGTAGCGGGGTCCCGATGTAATTTTAGATGCCTTTCTTCGCAGGTTCACAGTCGTCACCCATAGCTTATTGGCACAACCAGCTGTCATCCGGAAGTCATGGGGTTGGAACGCGGCAGAAGTCCAAGGAACGCGCGCCACTGACAGGACGCAGAAGCTTAGAACAGCTGTCTGGGGCTTTTCCAGACTTATGGGAACCTGATGGACTGTGACGGAACTGCGACGAAATTGATTGCAGCTTCCTTCGTCGATGCATTGCAACTAACGTAAGGATGTCAGCGGAGTCTCGGTGAGCACAATCAAGGCCTAGTAAACCCTTTTTTGATGCATGTGGCACTACATGCAGCTGTAAACTACACCTCATTTCCGAGGAGGATCAGTGTGCGCTTACCAGTACCACAGAATCACATCATCTAAACACTAACTGCCACGACTGCAACTACTCATCAGGTTGTCAGTGAGATCTTAGCAAACCACAGTGTGGTGTTTCCTTGTTCCACCTTGCCGGAGTGAACCTTCGCCAGTTCACTATTGACCACGATGACAAGGTGGTTACATAAAATGATTTTCTTAACGTGTAATGACTGGTATGTTTGCCACGGCTGTATCATGTTCCGTTTCTTCGGTAATTACACGGATCAAATCAAGTTAACCATATGCTATATGTACCAAAGAGGGGTGCATATTCAGCCACAGCATACACATTAATGACACAGATAAAATTAAAGTATAATAACTGCATACGTTGCGCCAGCATTGTGAAAAGTACGCACTGGTGGTATAATGGATTCAGCTTGGCAACAAGGTCTAGTTTGACTACATTTTGATCCCTCAGAAAAAAGTGACAAATAGGGAACAAACGACGTACCACAAGCCCGTGTTCAATAGTTCAATAGTTTATGATGGGATAAAAAGCATAACTTTACAAGACCCGCAGGATGGGTACACAAAAGAAAATTAAACTCAAAATGTTCCAACTTGGAACGTGAAGTGTTAGTGGTTAAACAACTGCACTTTATCAAAGTGTTGTGTAGCGTTTATCACTAAGATGAAAGTCTAAGCGTCTTTCTAATGTCGTCAAGTCTGGTGCGTTCATCACATATCTTTGTAATGCATTCCAGTGAGAACAAATTTTAAGTGAGTAAAATACTTTCTACAATTCAGACGGGACTGTTGCATCATTAGTTTCAGGTGGTTGCATTTGTTTGTAAGGGGCTAGGTTCATTTACTATCCGGTATGTAAGAGTAATATCTCAGCGAAACTGTCGGTATTCTGAGGTGAACGCATCGAGTACACGATGACGCAGTTCGTAACTTTGACCGGATAGTCCACTCATTACCTTCGTGGCTCTTCTTTGGGGTTGTTCCAATAGACGAATGTCTCGTTTTAACCATGGACACCAGGCCTGAATTGCATATTCAACGTGAGGACGCATATAGGAATTAATCAGCATTGGTACTAACTGTCGCTCAAAGGTGCCGAGAACTCGCCTCAAAAGTCTCAAGTTCAAGTTCGCCACACTTTCTGCTTTCGAACATTGGAGCGAATTGCCAAGACTCTCTTGCACGATTATACCTAAGTCGCGTTCACTAGTCACGTGTTGCAGGACGTGTTGCCTCAAAAGGTATGCGTTGACGAAGCTGCTGCGCATCGTCAGCAGGTGGCACTTTACAGGGTCAGGGTGAGCTGGTTCTTTTCTGTCCATTTGTTAATCCGGGTCAGATCATCCTGGAGGTAGACACAGTCGGATACTGAGCGAATGGCTCTCCATGTTTTAGCATCGTCTGCAAATATTTACATCGGAGATAGAATGTCTGCTGGAAGGTCATTAATGTAGACTAAAAACAGTAGCGGGCCGAGGACGGATCCTTGTGGTACACCACTGGAGATGCACAGGCTTGCAGAGTGAGTGTCGGCTACTCCAACCTTGAGTGTTCTGTCTTGTAAGTAGTATTCTAACCAGGTGAGCAGCGAACCGTTGATGCCGTAGGCAGCAAGCTTCAAAAATCCAGGTATATCACATATATGGGCACTCCTTCATCAGCCGCCCTGGTCCATGAGTCCAGAGTAAGCAGCAAATTGGTGTGTTGGCATAGATGGATTTGTACGTTTGACTGGTCGAAAAGTGGATAAATTTCGACAATGCACGATGAAGAGGGTGATTGGCATCATTAAATATTTTGGATGTCAGTTTTTCGTAGGAGCGAACGTGATTAGCACAATTATGTGAGTAAACACTAACATTAGAATACCGCTGCATCATGCAAGATGCTTCAGTGACTTGTTAGTCATTTTGAATCGCCCGTTTAAGAGTCTAGGAAATACCACAGGTGAGCAATACGTACGGTACGGTATTACGCAAGCCGTGTCAAACTATAAAATCAAATAACGAGGCATGCATGAAGACCTAAGTCGGGAGACAGAACGTTAGTCTTGTGACTTTAGTGAATGTTTTATTCAGGTGATGGGACCACGTGAGATCCCGACAGCGATGGGCAGTTAAACAAGAAATTATACACAAATGTGCATGCAGGAACTAGGGTGAGGGGAGGGTTCCAAACATGCGCGCAGGGCACTTCTACTAGCGGAAGCGTAAACATACACTTGGTTTATCATTTACGGGGTAAATCGATTCCAAG